AGATTTCACAAAAAACATAAAAAATACACAAGTACATCGAAATTTGGACTATATATTTTGCACCTCTCGCCATTTTGTTTTCATTGCATTTGGTTTTTTTTTTTTTGGTTTTTGTTTGTGTACGAATCTGTTTTTGTAATTCGGATATTCAAGTTTCCATATGCAAAGTATATTTTTTTTTATGTTTTGGTAGTTTCTTAATTATTTGTACGCAAATAATCTTTGTTGTTTTTGTAATTGTTTGTTACTTTGTTTTTGGCAATAGTAAAGCTTTGAAAAACTATAATTTTCTACAGTGCTTAAAATAAACTAAACTATTTGATATCTTTTTTTCGTTAGAAAGTTAAATATCTATAATACATACATACAAATACAAATACAATGCAATATATATCATATCGTTTAAACTTAGTATAAAAAAACTTATATTTTTTATTTTAATTTTCCGAAACTTTGTTACATAAGATTTTAGTTTTTAGTTGTTATTTTTGTTTAATTTTTCCCCATATCACAGATTGCTCGAGATTTATCGAATTTCTTGTTTTTTTTTTTGCGTTAAAAAAATTAAGTACAATAATTTTTGGCAATCAAGTAAATTTAAATGAAAATAACTGCTTTTATAGTAAATTGCACGTTTTGCTATGAAGAAGCTTTTGTGCTCTGAAATCAAATTTTTTTCTGTTGAATTTGAAAATATTCAAAAACTCATTATTATAAATTATTATTTACACAAATTACAAAAAGTAAGTAAAATTGCTGGCAGCGTTCGGTAATGACTCGTTTTTCCTAAAAAATAATTTTCAATAATAATCAATTTCAAAAAAAAATTATTAAATAAATAAATAAAAAAAAGTATAAAAAAATAAATTTAAAAAAATACATATCAAAAAAGTATAATAAACAATAAAAATAAAATAATAATAAAAAATAAATAAAATGATAATAAAAAAAAATAATAAAGAAAAATATAATAATAAAAAAAATTAGATAATAGAAAAAATAAAATAATAACAATAAATGCTATTTTCTACAGCAGTCAAATAAACATTATTAAATTTCCCTTTAATTCAAAATCAAATGTTTAGGGAAATTTATAACCAAAATGTATATATATAAAATATAATAATGTTTACATATGTACATACATACATACATATATTTTTTAACTTTTACTATTTTAGTGTGTACAAAATTTTTGATGAATTTGTAACTGCAATTTGTTTCAAGGAAATAATTTTTTTATTTAACTTTGATTATTTAATAATTTTTATAATTGAAATTGAGCTTAAAACCAGTATTATTTGTTTTCAACTCTAATTTTTTAAGTTTGTACTAAAATTTTGTTTAAGTGTAAAATTGGATTCAAAAACAAATTTTTTTCTTTTTAACTTTTACTCAATTTTTGATGAATTCTATATTTGAAATTTAATGAAACAAGAAAATTTAGCTTTGGTTATTTACAATTTTTTTATGGAATTTTATAATTAAAATTGAATAAAAAAATTTTTTCTTTTTCATTTTAATTGAGTAGTAAATTTTTGTTGAATTCTATAATAAAAATTGAATTAAAAAAAATTTTATTTTGAACTAAATTTATTTGTGTATTCAATTTCTATTGAATTTTATAATTAAAATTTAACTCAAAAACAAATATTTGATCTAAAAAAAATTTTAACTTCAATTATATGTGCTCAATTTTTGTTGAATTTTATAATTGAAATTGAAATAAAATAAATATTTTTTTAACTTAAATTATTTAATTGCTTATTTATTTTTTTCCTTTTTAGCACTCATTACATTACCGAACTCTTTATAAACTATAATAAAAAATATATGTTTTTAAATTAACAACTATGTTGAAAACAAAATATTAATATTGTGTATTGTTGTTAGTTTTTTGTCCTAGTATTCATGCGATATTTGCTAATGACAACTTATTTTTTGCACATATTTTTTTTTGTTTGTTTTGTAGTTATTTTTTTTTTAATATTTATGCATATTTTGTTGTATAATTTGTTGGTAATTCACAGTAGCTTATCGAAACGGTGTACAATTAAGAAATTCTAACATCAATAATTATCAATTTGTTGTTGTATTTTGTTTTACAATATCATTGTGTTTGGTTGATTTATTTTTTTTTTTTTTTGTTTGCTTTTGCTTGTGTGTATTTTTGCTTTAATAATAATTAATTATGGCATAATTCACGTTGCATTAGACGAAAAACTCTAGTTCGGTTTTAATTATGTATATTAATATATTACAGTTTATGCGCAATTAAAACTATATATATACACACACACACACAAACACATACATACATAGTATCTAATAATTACAGGATGATAAAATACACGCGCTTCTGGTTTTGCTTAATTTGTTTAATTTTTTTTTGCTTTCTTCTTTTTGTTTTTGTTTTTGTTAGGAGTGTTGCGCGCATAATGCGGCGCTGGGCTGGGTTTAGCTGAATTGAAGACGCGGCGTTATACGTACAATAGATACAATAAATACATGTAGTACATATATATTATATATATTTATTTTTATTTTTTTTTAACTTTTTTTTAATATATTTTCATAACTTTGTTGGAATAACTACAATGTACATATGTATGTATGTTCATAACCATAAAATGTCATGCTTTCATTATTATTTGCTTCGGGGACAATTGCAACTAACTCGTTTACGTAAAATTTAAATTTCAAAAAATATTCACATCGCGCTGCTTTTGTTTTTGTATCTCGTTTCCAGACTTATTTGATTTGCCTAAAAATTTCAGTTCTGTTATTAACCAATTCGTACTCTCCAAAATCACAATATTTATGTTTTACATATTACTTATATTATTTTCATAATTTTTTTTTTTTTGGTTTTTTGTAGTTTTAATTTTTTTTAGCAATTTCAAAATTTGCCTAACACGCTCGATCTTTTTATCGACTTTTTTTTTACATATTTTGAATATTTTAATTTTTAATGCAATTAACAACATTTGCATGACCACATCATGACTAATGTTTTTAGCGTTTCCAAATTTACAGTTTTACGCAATCAGCTGTTCCCCGTGTTGCTCACTACCACGGCGCCTACTTGATCAGAAAGTTATCGATGCAGCGCTTCTTCTCATTGTAAGCCGCATGCTCGGCCAGCAGATACATGCCATAGTCGTTCATGTTTTTCAGCAGTTACTTGTTGGCCGCATTGAAGAATTGATGTCATGAAGCCGATGTATTGCTCGCCTCTTCGGGTGTGCTGCGATTGCTGCAGACGTGCGCGCTCAGCGGATGTGTGACCGCGGTTTGTATCACATCTGGAATTTTATGGCTTCAGTAATGAGCTAAATCAAATGAGGGGGTGAAAAACAATTGGATTATGTAAATTTGTTGGGGAGTGTAGCAAAGCGCCGTCTTGAGAGTGAACTGCGTAATAGCAGATATGTTTTTTTTAGTGTTACTCCACTGTAGTCGCAGGACACACTGCTTTTTTGGCATCGCAAGATCAATGACAGTTGAGCAATTATTGAAATATCCTTTTAATTAGACAAAACGTTGTTTCAAAAATCTTGCCACTCGAGAGAAATGCTCTTAGAAGAGTAATTAAGAGAAAGCTCTAGGATCTGCTCTTTGCGATAAAAGTTAAATGAACAAAACTTATAGTAAAAATTTTGAATATCTGTAAATCTATCACTGTTGTGTATAATTCAATTTTGTTATTTGTTAAGATACACTTTTATAAAATCAATTTTGATAAAATTAATTTAATAAAAATAATTTCTTTTAGAAAAATTTTTTTAATGTTTTTTATTTTAATATATATAATTTTTTAAAAAGAAATTTTAAAGAAAATTTTTGAAAAAGAAATTTTTATACAAAGTAGTTTTTTGCGGTAAAGTATATTAGATAAATATAAACCTTTAAAGAAATTTTGAACAAATATGTTTTAAAGAAACAAGTCCAGACAATCAAATTTTGATTTGTTGTTTTTTAAATTAAAAAATTTTATGAACATATATACTTATTCAAAAAAAAAAGAAACCATTTTGAAAACATAACAGTTTAAAAATCTTTATTATTTTGATGCATTTGGAAAAAAGTAATAATTTCGATAAACATTTTTTTTAGCGTAAATAAAAAAAAAAGTATTTTCGGAAAATTATTTTGAAAAAAATAAATCCGACAAAAATAACATGTTTTTTGATTAACAATTTTGAGAAAATGTATTTTTTTTAATGATTAAATTTAATTTTTTATAAAAAAATTATTTACATTATGCAGTATAGAAATATTTTTTTCTAGTTAAATATGTAAAATGACGATTTTACTGTTTCAAATTATATGTTTTGTGATATTGTATAATCCAAAAAAAACATGTTTCATATGTAAAACTTTTTGATTGTAATTACACTCTAAATTTAATTTTAAAAATTTAAAAGAGAAATCCATAAAAAGTGCTTTGAAAAGATATTAAAAAAAAACTGTTGTCGAAACAAATGTTTCCAAACATTTTTTTACAAAAAAAATATATTTTAAAAATTGTTTTACTTGCACTTTTTATGGATTTTATAAAAAGTGCATTGAAAAGATATTAAATAAAAATGTTTCCAAAATTTTTTTTACAAAAAAAATATATTTAAAAATTGTTCTATAAAGAAAGTTAAATAAAATCTTTTACAAAGATATTAAATAAAAAAATGTTTTACAAAAAAAAAATAAATTAAATAAAAATATTTTACAAAGAAACTACATTTAAAAGAATGTTTTACAAAAAATGCAAACACAAAATATGTTTTTAAAAAATATTCCAAAAAATAATTTCCAAAAACTAGTTTTACAAAAAGAATCCAAAAAAAATTTTTTTTAGAAAATAAATTAAAAATGTTAACATAAAAAAATATTTTTTTTTTCAACACTTCTAAACAAACCGAAGTCAAACATTTTGCAAACGAAATCATACATATACACACACACATAAGTAGTAGAAAAGTTGAAACACAGTAGAATTTGGATTGCAAAAGTTTATTTCATAAATTCAAAAAATAAATGTAATTTCGAAATTGCATACTTTGCATTGTTATTGGTATTATTATTTGTTTTTTTTTTTATTGTTTATGTTGTGTTAGCAAATTGTTTTTCTACCAGCTATGAAAACCTTAATTAGAATCCAACATAGTAGGTATGTATGTATATTACTTAAGAAACTAAACTAAAATTGAAATGAAATGAAAATTTAATAATAATATTAAAAATGAACTGAAAATTACACTATACACATAAATTCAAATAGACATATATAATTAAGGCAAAATCCCGATATATTGTTGTTGCTTTAACATAAAAGTGTATATCGTTAATCCAATAGATATGTAAAGAGAATTCGATAGAATAAAATAATTCGGAGATTTGTGTAAATGAAATTGGGGGAAAAAGCAACAAACAAGTAAAATAAAAATGAGCAGACGGTGATCTTCATTAACGGGTACATGGCATGAAGCTTGGCTTAACCTTAAGTTTGCTAAAGTAATTACAGTTACGAAATATTTATACGAGCGCATAAGTATAGCGTTTGACGTAGGCACTCCCGTGTAGTTGTTGCTTTACTGGTTGGTGCCGTTGGGCGAACAGACACACGGCAGCACAGCATCACCGACCGCCACCAGCAGCAGCACCACCGCCATTCACCTCGATCGCGGCTGTGGTGGTTGTTGGCGTCGCACTGGACACCGTCTCATCACAATTGGTCTTCTGTTGTGTTTTGTTGTTTACAATATTCGTGCTGCTGCTCACGACAGGCGGCGACGTACTGCCACCGGTCGTGGAGGTCACGCCGCCTACACTGGCACACGCATCGGGCGTGGTAGTCGTCGGCGAGGTAATATGCGTATGGTTACTGGTGCTGCTGTTGTTGGTGTTGTTCGGCGTTGCTGTCGTCTGCACATCTGTGGCGCCTACTGTCGGCGGTACGGTTTCGTTGGGCGGCACATTTTGTGTGTTGGGCACAAAAATACCGGTCGAGGGGTCACTGGTCGGCTTGACATTGTTGTCTGACGGTACGGCCGTAACTTTGGAATTATTGCTGTAATTACCTGAACCTGCGCCGGCTCCATGTCCTGCAACACCAATGGAATCACCACCGATTGTTGGTTTCGCTGGTGGCGATACAGATGTATGCGGCTCGGCTGCGTTGGACATTGCGCTGTTGGGACTGCATTGTCGGGTTGGATCCTCGGCGTTGTTGGATACGCTCATATTATATGCGGCAGCATTATCTTTGGCGGCAACTGTGGGCGATGTTGATGGACTTCTCTTATCGGTGGTGCTTACATTGAGCGAGAGATTTTTCGCTGTCGTAGCAGCGGATTCTTTGCGTTCGCCAATGGTAGCTGTTTCAACGCCACTACCACCGTTCAGCTCATTCGGATGTGTATTGTGACCGCCACCACTACTAGCAACGGATGAGACCTGCACGCTAGAATTGGAATTCGAACCGGTCAGATCTAGTGTGGCCGGCTCGAGTGCACTCGACGCCAAAGTATTCTGCTTATCGTGTACACCAGCATTTTGTTGGTGTTGCGTTTGGCTCATGGCCAGCTGACGTGAAGTATGTGGACTGCTGGCAGAGCGTCCACCGTTTTGATTATGCATACCTGGATTGTTGTTCGACAATTGCGATGTTGCTTTCATTGTGATGGGCGATGCCGAATGGCTGCGGCCCGAATTACTAGTTAGCGAAAGCGGCATTGACGTCGGCGGCTGTTGATGCGCAGATGTTGGCGCCAGTCCAGCGCTGCTTAGATGCTGACTAGAGTGATGCGAGTGATAAAGTGAGTTGCTCATTTGCGGAATGTGTGAGGACAGCGTTGAAGTGGCTTGCGTCATGCTAGTGGAGGACTGCAAACCCGATACTGACGTTTGTGAAACACTACTGGGTACTGATACCTTCATGCTGGAACCCGCATTGCTTTGCATACTCAAATTCAGATTGTGTGGCGATGTGGTAGTGGTCGAGGTCGAGGCTATCGATGATGAATGTGGTGAAATCTGATGACTGGGCACCATTGCCGGATGGTGTGGTGAGATATGTGGATGTGTTAAATTTATACCGTGGTGTGATAAGCCCAAAGCGGCCCCAGGAAAGCCGGGATGTGTTAAGCCAGCAGCACTCGGATGTGCCAAGCCCAATGCAGATTGTTGCAAATGATGCGGTAAGCCACCGGGACCATGCGAAAGCGATGGTACACTACCCAAACCGGGCAAACCGAGATTGAGACCCATTGCCGAGTGTGGGCTCTGACGTTGGCTCGCCGCATGATAGGCGGACATCGGTAGACTGTGTAATGCACCAGGCGGTGCCCGCAAGCCCAAACCCAAATGCGGCATCATTGGACCGAGTAGATTGCGCCCCAATGGCGAATATAACTGACTTGTGTAATGATGCGAAGCTGATAGTATTTGCCTTTCGCGTTCTCTTGCTTCCCGCTCTTTTTCACGTAACTCACGGTCACGTGCTTCCTTTTCTTTCTGTTCCTTCTCTCTTTGCTCTTTTTCGCGTTGTTCCCGTTCCCGCTGCTCTTTCTCACGTTGCTCGCGTTCCCTTTGCTCACGTTCGCGCTCGCGTTGTTCCTTTTCCCGCTGTATTTCCCTTTCGCGTTCCTCTTCCCTGGCGATACGCGCGCGATGTTCCTCTTCCAATTTCATGCGTTCATGCAACGCAGAGCCCAAACCAAGCGCAGCGCCCGGTATCATTGAATATAAATGAGAAGCATAGGGCGAAGCCATTGGTGGATAAAGAGCATGTGGATGTGTGTGGTGAGAACCGGCGGCACGTAGCATTTGAAAGCGTTGATCTAAGTACAATTGATCGGAATAAGGCAGACCAGCTGGACTCAAGAACGGCCCTACAAAAGAAAGTAAATTATTGTAGAGATATATGGCAAAGAGCGCGCGCACACACTCACCTGGCGGCATTGTTGGCAAACCGGCGAAGGTGGCATAGGCTTCCAAGGGAAATGCGCCTGCCGGATGTATCAGACGCTCATCCGATCGATATGGTTGAAAACCGCTGCGCGCCAATAACTCAGGCTGCATTTGCACCGATTGTTGCGAAGACATGCGTGCGATCTTCTCGCCTGGTTGCGGCGACGAGCCTGCACGTTTTTTGGCCATTATACGTTCGTCCACACTACTGATTTGCCCACCACCACCCGTGGGTGGCAGCCTTTCATTTGACATTGATGAACGCGCCGTATTAGACACATTCACAACATTCGTATTGGCAACACTCACTGCTGCGGCAACACCGACCGCACCGCCGCCACCTGATACACCACCACCACCGCTACCCGCACTTAGCGGTACTGCGCGTTCGTTGCGATCGACGCGCACATTGATATCGTCTTCCTCTTTGATGTCGGCTTGCTTAGCCAAGTTGCGTAATGCCGAGGCGAAGGGTCCGCGTGCACTGGCTTGTGCCGCATTCAATGCACCCGGTACGCCGACCATTTGTTGCTGTTGCGCTTGTGCGGCTGCTGCTGCTGCAGCAACGGCTTGTTGATGTGCCTGATGTTGTTGCTGTTGCTGTTGTAAAGTGGCTGCTTGCAAGCCACTCAATTGATTTGGTGGCATAACATGATTCAGCATCGCCGGATTAGACGTCATTTGCGTCGCCGCATTGCCACCGCTGCTATTGCCAGCGCCGGGTGTGGTGGAGGGCGATTGTATATGATGTGGTGATGGGATGGGTGGAGCTGGACTTGTTGCTGGGCGCTTTTGGCCACTCTTTGGAGGAACTGCAAGAAAAATAAGATAGTTTAGAACTAATAAAATGCGAGTTTTCCAAAACAAAATATTTATTATGCGAATAATTTTATATAAAGGGTGTTATTTTAGAGGTATATCATTATATATATTGAGTTTGCCACAGCAAACACCCAGAAAGATACGTCGGAGAACTTATATGGTGTATATGATATGATCAGCCTTGTCCGTTTGTCTGTTTGTATACACGCAGCTTGAGGAGAAAAGTTTGTGTCTCTCAGTTTTTGAGATATCGATCTGAAATTTTGCACACGACCTTTTCAACCCAAGAAGCTGATGATTTGTCGGAATCACCGATAACGGACCACTTTATGTTAGCATACACCTGCCATACAAACTGAACGATCGGAATAAAGTGCTTGTACGGAAAACTTTTTCTTTTGAAGAGATATTTTCACGAAATTTCGGAAGGGTTATTCCTGAAGGCAATGGTGCAATCTCCGAAGAAATTATTTAGATTGAGTCACCATACAAGTTCTTGTAAGGAATCTTTTGTATTTGTGAAGGATAAAAAATAAAACCCCCTAGTAAATTTAATATCTCTAAAAAATCCTTTAATTTTTTAAAAAGGAATGGTTTTACGAAAAATAAAATTAAAAAATTAATTTTTGTAATTATGTATATTGAATAATAAACACCGACAGCCAACAGTAATATACTCTATAGCAACATGTCGCAAGAGTATAAAAAGTATCAAAATAAACCAAATATTTAATATAAGGTGTAGTAAGGAGAAATCCATTATTTTTCATGAAGATCTTGCTATGTGTTTGGTGGGTTTAGCAGGGAATCATCTGCTCCAAATTAAATTAAAGTACGGTCCTGGCACCAACTGATTACTATTTGTTCCTGTACAAGTATATGGCCTATGATTTTGCTGGTGAAAAATTCCTCTCAATAGGAGATTAGGAAAATCGATTTTTTAGTTTTTTGCCAATAGGGACTAACCTCTCTATGAGAGTGGCATTATAAAATTATCTTCAAAATAGCAATAGGTCAAGGAACAAAACGGTTCGTATTTTACCTAAATCAGATAAATCTTATTATGCCAAATAAAGTTAATTTAAAAACAAGTAAGGAAGGGCTAAGTTCGGATGTAACCGAACATTTAATACTCTCGCAAAGTCAAATGGTATACTCGTTTGAGATTTCTTTGTGGATTGACTGATATTTTCGGTAGAAGGTCAACTATAGGCACTGGGGTCCACATATTTAGTACTTAGGGGTTTGAACAGTTTTGGTTCGATTTAGACAATTTTTGGCCGCAGGGTGGCATACTTTAATTGCATTATTCATGCAAAGTTTTACCCCGATATAATCATTGTTACCTGATTTGCATAGTGGAAAGTGAAAGAATCAGATGGAATTGAAAATGGTGTTACATGGGAAGTAAGCGTGGTTGTAGTCCGATTTCGCCCATTTGCACTATGACATAGAAACATGAAAAGAACGTTATGCACCGAATTTGGTTGAAATCGGTTGAGCAGATCTCAAGATATGGGTTTTCACCTAAAAGTGGGCTGTGCCACGCCCACTGACTAATTTTGAACGCGGTTTCTATAAAGCCAATTTATACCATTTCAGAGATAAGATTTAATGTCTCTGGCGTGTTTAGTGCTTGATTTATCGCGCTTTTAGTAGTTTTTAACAGTACCGTTATATGGGGAGTGGACGGAGTTGCCACCCGATTTCAACTATTTTCACACCGTCAATAGAAGTGCTAAAAACATTTGCTTCTAGTGAATTTTGTTATTATAGCATTAGCGGTTTAGGAGATAGGCACATTAAACCTATTAGAGGCGGGACCACGCCCACTTTTAAAAATTTTAACTGCAGATGCCCCTCCCTAATGTGATCCTGTGTACCAAATAACAGTCTTGTATCTTATTGCGGAGCTTAGTTATGGCAAGTTATTTGTTTTTGATTAATGGCGTTTTGTGGGCGTGGCAGTGGTCCGATTACGCCCATCTGCAATACCAACCGTCTCACGGTACCATTAAACCTGTCTACCAAGTTTCATAAAGATATCTCAATTTTTACTCAAGTTAGAGCTTGCACGGACGGACGGACGGACAGACGGACGGACGGACAGACAGTCACCCGGATTTCAACTCGTCTCTTCATCCTGATCATTTATATATATATAACCCTATATCTAACTCGATTAATTTTAGGTGATACAAACAACCGTTAGGTGAACAAAACTATTATACTCTGTAGCAACAGGTTGCGAGAGTATAATAATATAATATACTATATAATAAAATATTTAAAATATAATATTTTTGTTACAGTTTCAAGCTATGACATCTCACTTTCACTTAGATACACTTGTAACTATTTAGCAATAGTTCAGAAAACAGTTTATATTTCAATACTTAGACGAGCGTCTAAATAACTAAATTTTTAATATTTGATCTAATTTTTTTATACCCTGAACAGGGTGTATTAAGTTGCTCGCCTGAACGATCGAAATCAAGTTTTTGCATGAAAAACTTTTTTATTTGATAAGATATTTTCAATATATGGCTTGAGTTTTTGTTTAAGACAATATATTCCTAGATATTTTTGTGAACGGAAGAATATGCCATATAGCTGCTATACAAGCTGAACGTTCGAAATCAAGTGCTTGTATGGAAAACTTTTTCATTTGAAGAGATATCTCCAAGAAATTTGGCATGGATTAATGTCTTTGGTAATGCTGCGAAACGAAGAAATTGTTTAGATCGGGTTACTATAGCAAATAGCTGGCATACAAACTAAGCGATAACAATTAAGCTCCTATAAGGAATATTTTGTATTTGTGAAGGGTACTATAGCTTCGCTGCAACCGACGTTAATGTTTTTTTTTATTTTTATTTATTTCATATTTTTTTAGCTGTTGCATTGCAATGTTTGTATTTGAATTTGAAATTTAAAATTTATTAGACATGCCGAACTTACAAAACATATATTTGTAGCAAAAACAACGAAACTGTGTAAAAATTTCTAATGAAATTAAATAATAATATAAATTTGAGCTAAAGGTAATTCGCAGAATTGATTTAGTGCAATGCACAAATATTTCTAAAACAATTACCTACGGCTTTTTATTTGCATTGTAATGCACGCATATATGTTAGCGGGTATGTGTGCAGGCATAGCAAATAAGATGCCACAGCAAATGTGCGCAGAATGCATGTTGAGGGCAAACAAAAATGAATATGTTATGAAATTTTGAATTTGATTGAATTTCAATTAAAAACTCGTACGTACATATGTACATACAAACATATACATATACATATGCATATGAATACATACGGTCGTTACGGTACGAATGATAGATAGATAACATTACCAACAACTCACCACAAATCGGTATTGGTGCATGGATGCTGGGCAATCCTCTCGGTAGCCATTCCATCATTTATTATATTACCGACACACACAAAATGCAACAACGAGAGCGTCGTAATGTGAGCGGCGTGGGAGCGAAACCAAAGGCGAGCGAACGAATGAACGCCGGCGCGCGAGCGCTACTCTCCAAGAGCGCACAAATTACAACAATTTTTATTATTTTTTGAGTTACCGTTATTTATTTTTAATTTTTTTTCTTTCTTCTTTTCAAATATGAACGAAAATTTTCACTGTTCGCTATTTAAGTTTAACACACTGTATTACTTTCAATGTGTCGGAAGAGGCTCGTCTTCGCTTTATATCTTTCACGGATGCACGTTTCAATTCACGTCTGTCTGTATTTACGCTTAACACATTTCATAAGTTGCATGTGATTGCTCATCAGCGACGGTGTTGGGTAGCATACTAAACGGTATATTAATAGTGGTGTTGGTGGTGTTTAGCCGTTGGGCGAATACAACAACAATAAGTAGAAAACATGTAACCACAGTATTGTCCACGAAAGCAATCAAAAAAGAAAAAAAAACACACACACAAAAGGTAAACAATAGCAGAAACAATTGCACACACACACATGCGTCGTATGAAAGCAAACAATAGAGTAGGGGTGCGTTTAATAGTAGCAGCAGCACAGGGGCAGACAACAATTATAGAGGGGTTGAAAGACTTTTGTTAACACTTCACGCACACACTAACACACAAACACAAACACACACACGTAGGCCGTGAGGCAACAAAAGCACTCATACGCCAACCGCAATAAAACGCAAGGATAACGACATGCCGCTACGCTGTACGCGGTCACCGTGCATACGCGCACTGGGGGTACATTTTAGTTGTAGTTGTTGTTGTTGCTGCTGTTCTTTTGTTAGCGCACAGTATATGGTATCTGATGTGAAATGGGAGTGTCAGCTACTGATTGCGTTACACGCTTGCATTTCATTACTGTTGTTGTTGTTTTTGTTGTTAGTGTTAGTGTAGTTCTTGCTTAAAGAGTTCGAGCATGAACTCTGATCCCTTTTTTTCCCTCAGCGTACAGTATTGTGTATTTTGCACTTTTCATGTTTGACTGTCACTATTTGCTGTTATTGTTGTTGTTGCTTTTGCCATAGATAGGATAGTACACTGCTTTTGCTTAATATTGTTGGTGTTGTTGTTAGCTGTCACTAAAGTTGTTGTTATTAGTGTTACTCGTGTTACGTTTTTGTTTCTTGAACTGCACACTTAAACTTGTTGGCATTTGTGAGTTTGCAGCGCCAAAAAACAACAAAAACAAAATATCACTAAAAATAAGTGTGCTCTTGCTCACTTGCATACACGTATATAACATATAGCTATAAAAAATAGCACTCTCGGCAATTCGCTCTCCTTCTTGCTTTCAGTTTTCTTATTATTATTTTTTTTTTGTGGGTCTACAATTTGCACCGCGCGCCTCACGAAGGATGTTGCAAGGTACACACGTCAAAAAGTTGGTTTTCGCACAGTTCAATACACGTACATGTATGTGTGTCTTCGTATATATTTATTGCTGTCCCGTGGAGCGAATGGGCGCTGCTCCAAGCACGCATTGACT